ATGAAGACGTGCCAGGTCTCTAGTCGGGTGACACTAGATGTAGGGTGGTTACCACGGTTGCAGAAGCCAAATGGCAAGGTGAGCTAGAAGCACCAGAACATCTGGAGCACCAACAGCACAATTTCCCCCTCCTGCAGTCCAACACGGACCTCCACAGCTACTCAAATACTGAACACAATCACCTGCTGTGAGAGGAGAGCTGCTTCAGTGTCTTATAAAGCCTATTAAACAGTGTTTATCTCAGCAATGCCTGTACACAGTGTTTTTTTGTTTTCGGCCATAAAAGATAATAAAAATGTGCATAATGACCATAATTAAATGACTTAAACAAACTGAAAATATGACAAATAGATATTAACAATATATATATTAACAATGCTTATGTTTATGAAAAACCATTTCAAATAATCCAATTATAGTAAATAATGTCAGATAGTATCCTGCTGAAGCTAAATACCGAATTTGGCAAGTTTTTTTTTTTTTTAATTGAATGTCTCTGATGCTTACCAAGGCTGCATTTATTTGATCAAAAATACAGTAAAAACAGTAATATTGTGAAATGTTATTACACTTTAAAAGAATTGTTTTATATCTGAATATATTTTAAAATGTAATTTATTTCTGTGATGGTAAAGATGAATTTTCAGCAGCCATTACTTCAGTCTTCAGTGTCACATGATCCTTCAGAATCATTCTAATATGCTGATTTGGTGCTTAAAATATTTTTTTTATATAATCAATGTTGAAAACAGTTGTGGTGCTTAAAATGATAATGGAAACCATGGTTTTTCCATCAACTAAAATATTTTTGGTTGACTAAAAATCAGATGCCATTTTAGTCAAAGTAAAATTGACTAAAATGAATGAATATGGCGTCACAAAACAATAACAAAATGAAGAGGACATTTTCATCAAAAGCCAAAAGCTATAACTAAAACAAAATAAACAAACAATCTGAAAGTCAGCAAATTAGCTAGAAACACAATCTGCATCTCATCCATGGAAATGTGGCTTAAGATTCTGTGATCAGTAGATCTCTCAAAAGGCACAGATTTAGTTTATTTAACAAGTATAAATGTGCTATGAACTGTTGATCATGTATGAATAAACATTCAAGGCAAAGGGTTGTGAGTCAGCGGTGCTTTTGTAATTTCCAGCGACATTCCGCACAGAGCAGAAAAAACAAACTCATAACAGTTCTTTAATGCGGTTTATTGGGAGAAAAATTGAGCATTAGTCAGTCTAAACTCAAGTTATCATGTTTACTCTTTGATCTCACTACAGGATAAGTGCATTTCGCCTCAGAAACAATCCCTCAATCAACATTAGAGGGTTGGAGGGAAGCTCTGACACAATTATGAAAGGAAAAGATTCATAAGAGCGGGCAGCCATTCAGGTTCGATTAAGATCCTACTGACAGCTGGTGAGCTGCCGAACCTAAACAGAGCACGGAGCTGTTTAACTGTGTAAATGGCTGATTCATCCATTCATTGAAGTCTGACAGAGAAAGCGAGAAGGAAAATCCAATGTTGTGATGGCTTTTTGGGATGTCATGAGGGATTGTGTTTTGTGGCTGAGAAAATCTCTTTCTATTAGATAGATTTTTGTGCCCATGGAAACCCGCAGGTTTCAGAAATTTGATTTCTGCTTGTGGAAGTGATTTACAGCAGCAATGTGTCTAAGTCCCATTGGGACGAGGCTCAATTCCAAAAACACTGCTTCACTGATTTTCAATGGCTTGCTCAAGTGTTCCCGCCCTCAAGGGAGAGAAAAAAAATCCCACCCTGACGAACATTATCAATTTGAATTGAAGTATTTAATTGTCAGAAATTGACAACTCGACTGTCTTCAAAGTGATACCCAGAAGAGACAGCGAGAATGTAATGTAAATGTCTCAGTCAAATTACCATTAAATATTTTCGGGGCACCTGAAACATTTGAAGCAAAGCATGCTGCATATTTCAGTTTTAATGTCCATTATGCTTACATGTTAAATAAAACATCTTACTGCTTTAGTTGTAAATTGTACAGGGCAGTGCATGACTGATTCAAGCTGGTCACTCATATTTCTAAACGAGTTGTTAAAGGAACCGGCTCATAAGAGTCATTCATTTGGGGAATGACTCTTGTTTTAGTTCATAAGCGTCAGTTGTTTGTGAATAGAACTACACTGATCATGCTTATGTTTTTGATTCAATAAAAAGAACCTGTACATGAGAGTCATTTGCTTGTAGATCACATAACACATGTATGTTTTGATTCACTAAAAATAACTAGATCTTGCAGGACATTTGTTCAAGATTTGGTCAACATACAATAGGTTGCACTATGTTTTTGATTCACTGAACAGAACCACATACGAGTCATTTGCTCATAATTCACACTAAATAAGGCTCGCTGCATGTTTTTGATTCAATAAGAGGAATATGTTCATAAGAGTAATTTGTTGTGAATCAAACTACACTGGTACTGCTGTTTATTTATTATTCATTGAAAAGCTGTTCATAAGGGCCATTTGCTCATGACTCACATTACTGACTGTGTTTTTGATTCATTATAAAGAACCAACTCTCAGGAGCCATGTGTCCATTTGTTTGGGATTGTGTTCAGACTACATAGGTTGCTCTGTATGTTTTTTATTCTCTAAAAAGAACCACATCATATGAGTCATTTGTTCTTGAATCACACTACACTGGTCTCACTGTATGTTTTTGATTCACTAAAATGAACCCGTTTATAAGAATCATTTGCTTGTCAATCACACTACACTGGTCTTGCTGTATGTTTCTTACTCACTAAACATAACCTGTTCATACAAGTCATTTGCTCATAAATCACACTTTTCTGGTCTCACCGTAAACGTTTAAGGGCCATTTGTCCATTTCCTGGACTCGCTATGCATTTTTCATTCACTAAAAGAACCTGTTCATAAGAGTCATTTGCTTCTGAATCACACTATACTTGTCTCGCTGCATATTTATGATTCACTAAAAAGAACTGGAAAGATTGTTAAAAGATTGTGGAAATATCACTGAAAGAATTGTGGAAAGATTACTCGGAAAATCCATATTCGATTTCCAAACTCATCCGTCAGATTAAATAACCACAGCACATGTTTTTACTAAACTATCATAAGCAACTAGCTGTGCAAATGAATGAAAATGTAGTAGAGGATATGTGTGGTCCACAATCACACGGTCTGCATAATGCGTATCTGACAAACTCATATGCGGAGGACGGTAATTGCCTCTTTACAGCGCTCCTACAGAAGATGATTTGTTGAAACACATGACACTGCCATTCACTCTGAGGGCTAATTCACTGCTGGAATCAGAAGCAGACTTGTCATTTAGAGAAAAACTAAAATCAGAGGATAAAACGACTGTATTTGTATTTTGTATTTGCATATCAGTGTTTATTTGCATACAGTACATGCACATCTCTTCATGTAAATTCAAAAATCTCTTATAGAAGGTAAAAATATAATTGATAACAGCTAAGTTTAGTGAAACTGCAAAAGTTCTCCAAGTATGGCTTAAAAAAATTTCATTAGTTTAGGAAATCTTAAAAGGAAACTTGGAGAGCAAACAAAAGCAGCGTGTTCCTCTCACAGCACTGACTTTAATGTAGTTTAATACTGCGCTGTTGCTATGGATACAAGAATAAAACCTTACGTGAGACTGAAACTCAACCCAAGAGAATCAACACTTTCTCAGTTATTTTTCAACCAACTCTTGACAACAAGAAGCTATGTATAAATCACATGATTCAGTTTTACCTGCAGGCAATCTAGAGTTACGAATGAACAGAACTGACGTGGCTGGGGGAAATGGCTTGTCAGGCTTGTTCCTCATTCCGTATGGATTAGGAAGGAGGTGTAAAAATCCCAAACTCTTGGGGCTTTTTTTGTTAGTTCATCAAAGGAACCATCGTTCTTAGTGGTCCAGATATGAAACTCTCTTCTCTACATCATGTGGTCAGCTGCCATAGAAACAACCACACTGTTCAGACCACAATCTGTTCTTAATGAGAGATCTGCCTTTTACAGCCCATTTACAATCATTGGGGTTGTGACTGCATCTGCGTTCCAAACAGGTACCGTATGTGAATTGTTTTGTAAATGCAATCTGGGTTATAGTTTCACAGGTATATGTGAATGAAATTTGCAAAGTAGTCTATCTTTTTCATTCAGCATTAATTTCTTTGAGGTCAAGAGCCGCCACTTAGATGAACATGCCAATATATGCTGTTGTTCAAAAGTTTTAGGTTGGTAAGGTCCTTAATGTTTTTTAAAGAAGTCTCTTATGCTCACCAAGGCTGCATTTATTTGATAAAAATACATTAGAAAGAGTAATAAATTGAAATATTATTACAATTTAAAATTACTGTTTTATAAAATGATTTAATTTATTCCTGTGTGCTGCTTAATATTTTTGTGGATACATTTTTTCATTTATCTTTCATCAATTCTTTGATGAACAGAAAGCTCAAAAGAACAGCATTTATTTGAAATAGATTTTTTAAATAACATTATAAATGTCTTCACTGTCACTTTTGATTATTTTAATGTGTTCTCAATAAAAGTATTAATTTCTGTCAAAAAAAAAAACTTTTTGAACAAGAGTGTACACTCTTCATTACACAGTTTCTGTGTAATTCCAACATTAAGTCGGCCTTATGTAGAACTACACATTCATTTCAATGTGGCAATTTATGCACAAATGGATCTGTGAACAATCCACACATATCAACAATCTGCAGTCATGTTGTTCCAAACCCATTTGACTGTCTTTGACTCGGTGATGCCCATTTATTTTCATTATATGGAGAAAAACAGTTGAAACACTATGTAAATATCTCCTTTTATGTTGTACAGAAGTCATACAGGTTTGGAATGAAATGAGGGTGTGCAAATGATGACAGGAATTAACATTTTATGGTGAACTATCCCTGTAAACGAACGTTCTTCCATCATATAAGAAAAGCACCCACATACTGACCTCAGGCAGCCGGTGGCATTGCGAAGTACTTGAGATGTGTGCATTTGAAGCTTGCGGTCCTCCTGATGTGGGGACACGTCCCAGGTGGAATGGGGTATAATCACGGTGTTGGTCAAGACGGCTAGAGCATCCTGGATTATAGGCATCTTCAGAGCATCACACGAGGACAGGTTCCACAACACACCTGCACAGGACAAACACATAAGCGCAATGTTTGGCATAGCAAATAGGTAAAGCCATCTCTATTGCAACATTTGTGAACCATATTTGAAGACAAACTATTAAAGGAATAGTTCACCCAAAAATGAAAATTTAATGACAATGTACTCACCCTCAGGCCATCCAAGATGTAGATGAGTTTGTTTGTTAATCGGAATAGTTTTGGAGAAATTTAGCATTACATCCCATGCTCACCAATAGATCCTCTGCAGTGAATGGGTGCCGTCAGAAAAACAGTTCCAAAAAGCTGATAAAAACATCACAATAATCCACAACACAACTCTAGTTCATCAATTAACGTCTTGTGAAGTGAAAAGCTGCATATTTGTAAGAAACAAATCCATCATGAAGACATTTTTAACTACAAACTGTTGCTTCCGGCTAAAATACGAGTACGAGACATATCCATTTACAAGTGAAAACAGTCCAAAACAGTTCTGCTATTTCATTCAGAAGTGACAGATTAAAGTTAAAATGCCTTAATGATTGATTTGTTTCTTACAAACACAGCTTTTCACTTCACGTGATGTTATTTGATGGACTGGAGTCGTGGATTATTGTGATTTTTTTATCAGCTGTATGTCTCTCATTCTGACGGCACCCATTCACTGCAGAGGATCCATTAGTGAGCAAGTGATGTAATGCTACATTTCTCCAAATCTGTTACGATGAAGACATACGAATGTCCCGAGGGTGAGTAAATTTTCAAAACATCTTTGGGTGAACTATTGCTTTAACATTTGTGTGGTGTATACTTCGAGACCCCTGCTTGAAAGTGACTGCAGTAATGCACAAGAAATAATGCTTTTCTATTACTACTTTTTCAGAAGGGTAAAACATTCACAGAACATTGTCAATTCTGTGCTTGAGCTAACCTGAGACAGGTTTTGACAACGTCTCACACAGACTCGGAGACCCACACAAATGTAGAGCTGAACACCAGAGGAAAAAAACATAATTTGACATGCTTTAAAGCATGCAGTCTCACATTACAATGGCGGACTAACAGCATTTTACCAAACTCCTTCACAGCTTCGCCAAGACTCAGAGGGAGAACTTAAGCAATATGATTTACTAGATGCAATTCATATAAAACAACTCCTCTGTACTGCACAACCTTTAGATTACATCTGAGAGATTCCATTTTTTAAATAGATAAAAATGCTACAACAAACAGAATTTCTTAGTCGGCTAAAATTAAACAGCCTACATACAGTAACAAGGCTAACTTTTACAGACTATTAAAAACATGCCAAGATTAATATCTTTGGTTCCACGTACTGTAGCACGTCCCTGTTATTGTTATCACTGCAGCCATTAGAGATTTGTCAAAGCCATTCTTGCAGAAACATCATATTTGCCTCAGACAGTAATTTAATAAACAAATAGAAACTATGGAGAAGAGGAGGATGGAGACATTAGCATTTTAATTTTTGTTTAGGAATGGATAATGACAGTGGAAGAGACAATCAAAATGTTTGTTCGGTCAAGACCTTTTGTTCTCCAACATATGCATAACTCTGATATGCAGTTTGATGGCGGCTACAGTATGTTGAAAGATCTGAAGGATAAAAAGTGAAGCAGATACTGTATGTTCGTATATATTTGTGTGGGAGGTCTGTCCTAAACTAGCAGAGATCAACCAGCCATATTCTGTGGGCATAACAGTCATGTGACTACACAGCAATCTCCTTTATGACTGGTAAGAAAAGCCCCTCATTTTCATGTTTTGGACAAGAAACAATGCACCTAATTAGACTTTCAAACATGCTAATTACTGCATCTCATCCTCCAGATCCCAAAGACAAAATTCATACAATTCTACAGTTGACTAACGATATCAACACAACACAAGGTTTCATCAGTTTGTAAGCAAACATCTCAAGACCTGCACAGACAGCTCTAATTTTCTTACGTCACCATGGTGATTAGCCACACGGAAAAGATCAAACACATTGCATTGTGGGATACAGTATTTTCACAGCATGTAATTTAATGTACATACACCATTTAAAAAGTTTGGGGTCAGTAAAATTTAAACATTTTTTTTAAACATTAAAGAGATTACATTACAGAAAGTTCACCCAAAATCAATCAAACAGTTAATGGTAGCCATTGACTTCCACAGTATGGAGAGAAAAAAATACTATGGAAGTCAATGGCTACCGTGAACTGTTTTGTTACCCACATTCTTCTAAATATTTTCTTCACCAGAAGGCAAACTCATTCAGGTTTGGAACAACTTGAGGGTGAGTAATACATTTTAATAATAGTTCACAATATTACTGTAGGTGAGACTTTATTAAAACGAATTATTAACTACAAATAGTAACTAAGTATTAAAACATCTTACTGATCACATACTTTTGAGCAGTGGTGTAGAATATATAATAATAATAGAACATAGTAGTACACTTACTGCATACTACTTTATTTAAATAAAAGGTAGTATGCCGCTCCGAACAGATTCAAGGATCCTTACTCTACCGTGACAAGCATTACAAAATTCCAGGCCACTTACACCATCAATCATCAACTTATTTCAAGTTGCAACAAGAAGAAACTCTTAAGGCTGTAGGAGGTCAATTTCAAGCAGTCAATACTAAAACATCCCGCAAATGAGAAATAACCAATTTAGCCATGCGTGCAGCTAATTAGCCTATCCTGAGCTCATCAATATCTCACCTGAGAGAGCTCACTCTCTGAGGCAGTAATTTATCCTGACAGATGCTATATCACAGAGGATATGTCTAATTTCATCCTAAATCTCCAGAACATTCTAATGTCTAGCAGCTGCAAGGAGAGAAATTTATTTTTGTAGGACATTTTCATGCTAATATAAAACCATAAATATAGCCAAACACAACAATTATGTTCTAATCAGAAAACAGCATAGTAGCTAGAATAGATGCATGCTTTTAGCATGCTCCTGTTTTATTAGATTCACTTTACATTATTTTCCACAGTTGCATAATTACACACAGCTCTCTTTGTAGCTGCAAGTGCAAGCATTATCAAATTTGCTCAAATATTTAATAAACAAACATTCAAGGAAAAGGGTCGAATTCTGTGACGCTTTACGAATTCTGAAAATGTACTTTATATTTATTTAGCAGATGCTTTTAGACAACGTGACTAAATAAGCAAAAATACTAGCAGTGTTTGAATGCAGAATTTCAAGAGATTTAACAAAGCACAACAGTGATCGCCCACTTTTCACTGGCCTTGAAAGAAAGAAAGAAAGAAAGAAAGAAAGAAAGAAAGAAAGAAAGAACGAAAGAAAGAAAGTG